GCAATGTGTGAGAGATAAATGCGTATCCCTATGCCACCAATAAATACATTGCTGCTCTGTTTACTTTTTAAGCAGCGTGATGAACAGAATTATGCCATGCAACAATTCCATGATGAAAGGTTACAAACCAATTTTTGGACTAAAAAAACAGGGTGTGACGATTATGTGGTGAAATATGGTAAGTGTGGATTATTTACATACATATGCATGTATATGTATGTAGATATGGACATACATAGTATGTATATACACATACACACACCACACACACACACACACACATATATACATACATACATACATATACACATATATACATAAAATTCCTAATTCTTAAAAGAATTTCATTAGACTGTAAGTTATCAATTTTATCAGACAGGTTCTGGTCATTTTCCCCTTTGAAACGCCTATCCTTTGTGTTCCTTCCTTTGTATTTCCATTGCTGCTACCTGAAGACTTGTTACCTCAAATCCGGACAACTGCAACAGCTAAGCATCCTTCATTTTAGTCTCTTTCCCCTCTAATCCACACTACATAAGACATTGAAGATTAACTTTCCCCAAATGTCAATTTTGCCATCTCATTGTTTCCTGGTTACAAACTTCCCATTATTCATTGGTGTTGATAGATAAAGTTTGAATTGTTTAGGAATCCAGGGCTCTTCATGGTGGAGCACCAGGGTACCTATGCAAATTTATTTCTCACTGTGGTTTAATGTAAGCCTTCCTTCCCTTTTCATCAGACTATTCTCCCTGAGCTCTCAGTGGGGACTAAATATCTTCCTGTCAAAGTCCTCCTCTGATAACATCATGGTACAGAGGTGTACCTGGGTTTCTATACTTAACTGGGGTTGTAAGGAGCTGAGCAACCTACTTCCATTCAAGCAGCCATCTTGGTTGGAAGCCAAGAAGTTGGAATCTTCAAACTAAAGGTGAACTTGATTTTAATTCCTGGCAAAATTCCTGGAGCACATTATTAAACAGATAGTTTGTGATTACTTAAGAAGGAAACAGTGATTACTATGAAGCAGTATTGGTTCATTAAGAACAAGTCATTTTAGACATCTCATTGCGTTTGTTTGACAGGTTTACTTACTGGTACATCAGGGAAATAACGGAGGCATGATATGTCTGGAATTCAGCATGGCATTTGGCACAACAACAATATAATAACTAACATGTATGTAGCTCTTTAAGTTATGCAAAGCACCTTACACATATTAACAATATCTTTGTGGACAAGGGCTGAAGAAATCTTGTGATGAGAGCATAGTTAAATGGATATAGAATTGGCTGAACACCTGGACTCCAAAAATGATGATTAATAGATTTGCGCCAATCAGGAGGATTTTAGTGGAGTGCCCCAAGAATCAATTCTTGACCCTACCTCTATTCAACCTGGTTATCAATGTCTTGGATGAATATGTTTGTGAAATGTGCAGACAATATGAAGCCACCTATAAAGAAAGAGCTAACATACTGGACAAAAAGAATTAGGACATCAAAAGATCCTGACAGGCCAGAATGAGTTGGTAAATCTAAGAAAAGTGAAATTTAAGAAGGCTAAATGTTGAATATCTACTTTTAGGTTAAAAAAAATGGCACAAGTATAGTATTGGGGATGTAATATGGCATGTGAAAATGCTGAAATGCTGAAAGCTTGTGAGTCAACAACATGACGTGCAGGGCAAATTAAAAGGCTAGAGGTAGCTTTGTCAGGCTGCTAACTATTCGTTATACATTTAAGTAACACTTTATGATTGGCAAAGTTTGTTATATGTTATCTGTTTTGAGTTTCACAATAACCCTCTGAGGCAGAGTGTCATTTCCAGCTAAGGCAACACTTAGCACAGTGCTCAGCACATAGTAGGCGCTTAATTGTGTTTATTGACTGCTTGGTTTATTGATTTTTACAGATGAAGTCTTCTTAACTTTGAGGTCAGCCCTCAATGGCACCGTATCATGTCGATGCCTCTCCATAAGTGAAGCAGTGTCCAGACTGAAGAAGGGGTTAGCCCCACTCTCCTTTACCCTGGTCAGATCACATATACAATATTGCTTTGGCTTTGGGCATCCCCTTTATGGAAGACAACTGACAACTGTGTGAAGAGAAGGATGATAGGATGGCAAAAAGACCTGAAACTACACTATACAGGGCAAAATAAAAGGAACTGAAGATATTGAGTCTAGATAAAAGAAGGCTTCGAGGGTTATGAGAAATATCTTAAAGAATTTGAACTAGGAGTGATGGATCTAAGTTTGTTTCATTGGATTCACTTCCTAACTACAAGCTTTTACCCATATACAACTGTCTTCTCAGAATAATGTTTTTAAATAATTGAAGGAAATGCTAAATTTCAGTTAGGGTTTAGTAAAAATACAGATGTAATTTTTTCCCTCATCAAAATTCATGGGCCCTCACAAATCTGTTCACAGATCCCCTTGGAATTTGTTAACTACAGGTTAAGAACTTCTGTTACAGAGTCTCAACCCATCCTCTCCTCCAAACCTACCCCCCCCCCCCCCCCCCCCCCGCACTTGAATGACTAGAAATGATCCCATCAAAAACTATCTCGGCTATAAAGACCTGGGAGATTTAGTAGATGGGGTTAGAAGAGTTTTGTAACAAGAGTTACAAATAGGCCAGAAAACATGGTGGTGAGATATTTAGAACATTTTTTTGTTTTATGGAATTTCAGGGGGCTAAATTTGTAAAATATCTGTCTCCTTATTTATAAGTACAATATTTAAATATACAAATATTTATCAAACTAATTATAGATACAATGCAAAAATAGATGGAAAGTATACCCTGCTCTCAGGAGAATCTAAAGTGGAGAAAGACAAGCATAGAAATAAATATGATAAGGGATAGTGAGATAAGTGTAAAGGAAAGATCCAAGCAAAGCACCAGGAGTAATTTGAGTAGGAGAGATCTTTCAGCTGGGAGGATGGGAAGGAATGGGATAGGGCAGGGAAGGTTTCAGAAAAGAGGCACCTGAGTAAGGCTTTGAAGGAAGGGAGGAACTTTGGAAAAAAAGATTGTGCTATCCTTTGAAGAGAAATATACAGCTAAAGATGATCTTTTGAAAGGAGATTTAAAAATTCCCTGCTTCTATGGGAAAAAAAAAATAAACCTTTTTCCTTTTTTTTTTTTTTTGGTTTGTTTGTTTTGTTCTTATTAGGTCCCCTTTTAAAATAATCTTGCTAGGTCAATCAATAGACATGCTTTACGGTGATACTCAAGATATGCAAAGTTAGAGAATCTACCCGAAAGGTTCACATGGACTATTTGTGCCCGACCTGTGGCAGAACATTCCAAGCTCATATCAGTCTGATCAACCACAGTCAGACACATTGTAACTTGACTCTAGCATAGTGATGTAATTTTGGTCTTCTATGAAAATAAAGGACAACAACCATTACTGGGATAGAACCCATATTTTCCTAATGCAACTGCCGTCAGCTCCAGCTTTCCTGACTTGCCTCCACAATCCCACTTCCCTCATGCTGCCCTCCCCACAACATGATTGGCTTCAGCTTCTCTGACGTGGCTTCTTATCAAGAGGCACAAAGTCCCCGGGGACTGCGTCTGTGCCTCTCAGACTTGAAGGGTGCCTGAGGCCATACCAGTTGCTATACCCCATGACATACTGACTAGATACATTCTAAGTGCGCCAATATCCTTTTTTTATTCTTGCTGGGCAAAGTTGACCTCTTCTTCCTTTGTTATATGTTCATAATTTCATCCTAACATTGAACATAAAGGGGGTGTTGGCATAGAAGCCCTACAATTATATTACTGCCACAGTACTGATGTTCTGAAAGGATAAAAAGTAACCTTACAATGCCTTACAGTGAGAGGTATTCATTTCTAAAAATGAAAAAATTAAAATTAGAGAACAAGTTTCTGTGGGAATTGGAAACTGAGGTAAATGTATTGGTCTTTTAAGTGGGTGAAATAATGCGTGACATAAGGAAGTAGAAGGGTAAGAGGAAAAGCAAAAAAGAATTTGCTTTGGGAAAAGAAAAGAAAGAATTCATGCTAGCAAAGGAGAAACAGAAAAAGAATTAGAAGGAAAAAACAGAAGGGGGGGATATTCATGGAATCAGCACTTTAGTTGGAAGATTTTTATTGATAATGAAAGTATTTTTTCAACATAATTTAGGAAGCAATATCCCTTCTAAGAATGCAAATTTTTGGATTCATGGGTGAATCAAAGGCACATATAAAATAGATTGTTTTATTTACTTTCAGGGTAAACAGAATGAGAAGGGACTGGGAGATAGGTCTTCAGTTGACCACTGAAGTCTTCCAGGATAGTCCTTGGTCCTTCTGAAGCAGTCTGGAAACATTAGGGCCGGGTCCTACTAGATCTACCTCAGGTGGGATAGGTAGCAAACCCTCTCCTCTCCAACTATCCTTAGATGGCACTGCCTGGCCCGAGGGCATGTGCAGTGCAAACTGTGCCTCCTTTGCATTCAGGATCAAGGCTGCAGTGAAGTTGTGCCATGCAACAAAGGCAAGCGCTGACAGAAATACCTCAGATTCATTACGTGTTTGATTTCTAACTAATTTTTGGTTGTTTCATGTTCAGAAACCTTTTACTGTTGCCAAATTTTTCATGATTCCATATGGGGTCGTGACCCACAGTTTAAGAAGCGCTGTCAACTAGGACCCTTTCATTTGAGTTCTATGAGAACAAATTAGCCCACCAACCTATGCTTACCAGGGCACAGTGAGGTGGTACATACTAGGAAGTGGGAGGCTAGCCCCACCCCAGTAGATATCAAATAATAATAAGCCCTTAAAGGCAAATGCTAGGAAATTGAAGGCTAGCCACCTCAGTAGATACAAAATTATTAATTATAAGCCCTTAAAGGCAAATGCAACAGCAATAATGATGTTACATTACCAAACTATATTTAATTGTACTAATTTTGATGTGATTTTTCAAATAGAAACCTATCAACACATAACCCTTAACAAATTGGCAGAAATTTATTTATATCATCTTTATTGTAAACAGAGGTCATTAACAGGTTACATCAACTAAAATTAGCAATATGGAACAGATTTATATAATTATTTTTTGTATGGCAGAATTGGTAAACACCAATATCTTTGAAACATTACAAATTATCAGCATTTCAAAGGTACAATGGTCTCTTTAGTGTCATGTTTAGCACCACTGAACTCTCACCTCCTAAAAATGAATTTAATTACCAATGGGCAACAATAATTACTACACAAACTGTAATTAATACAAATATATATATATTTTAAAATGTGTAGACCAGCAAATTATATACAAGAAGTCCATGCTTTCCAGAATATCATAGATTTAGAGCAAAAGGGCTCTTAAATGCCATCTAGTCCAAATCTCTCATTTTATTAATGAGGCTAAGAGAGGTGTGACTTGTCCAAGTTACCTAGCTATTATATGGTAGAATTGGGATTTAAACTCAGATTCTTTCAGTCCAAATCCAGTGCTCTAACACAACACAGTCTTTCTATGAATTGACTACTTCTTCTAAAAATCACTGAAGGCCAATCCTGGGTTTCAGAACTTTACCCATTCCTGGAAAGGAAGATTTAGACTCAATATGAGGGAAATGTCCTAGTAAGGAAAGCTGTCCCCAGTAGAATGGGTTGTCTCTGGAGGTAGATGATTCCCCTTCACTGGAGCTTTTCAAGCTGGGCAAGATGACCACTGAGGAAGGGCATTATAGAGGGGATTCCTTTTTGGTTTTCCTTATACAGCTAAATCTATGATGGCATGAACTTGGTTTCAGGAATATAGTCAAGCACCACCTGGTGGCAAAAGAGAGTAACGTCGAATTTCTATTTAATCAAAGCTGTATGGATATGCAGTGATCCCCCCTTCCTTCCCTTTTTTGCTGTTTCGCTTTCCTATGTTGTTTACAGGAATGCACTGCAGCAAAAAGTGGGGGCTTCTTACTTGTAAAGTATTTTAAAATGCTATCCTTTGCAGTTATTCGGTAAACTGCACCAAATGATCCTGTCTGGTCAAAAGCACTTGGGATGGGGGCGGCGGGTGACCATATATATGCACATACATGTATAGACACATATGTAAATCAAAAACAAATGACAAAATTTCAAAAAGAATTAAAAACAGATTGTGTGATTATTTAATAAACAATATTATGTAATAAACTTATACAATTTGTGTAAAATATTTATTTTAATAAATCTGAATAAAGCATATAACTAGGTAAAAAGAATAGCAGGGGGAACTTGAATTTAATGAGATTTCCAATTGGAGTATATATGGAAGGACAACGTGCTAGTAAAATTGCTGCAATAATTAATAGAGGCCACATTTCTATTATAAATATTTAAAGTGCAACTTTCAGGATTGGGAAAGGATTCTATGGTTATTTCAATTAAATTTAATGAACCCACAGTAATGTCCAGGTTTTGATAAATATTTTGTTTTTAAGCTATTTACATAGACAGTAGTAACACTAATAAATATTGGCTTTTTTTTAAGATTTGTCTACACAATATAAGCAACCATTAAAAAATACTTGCTAGATTAAAACACTATGTAAATGTAAGTTTAAACCTATTTCCTGGATAAAAAAGAAATAGCTGGAGCCTGTGGTTCATCACTGATGACTAACAGCAGGCCAATAACTCATGTTAACGGCCCCTTAAAGGGGCTTGTTTGGCCTATATATAAATATTTAACAAAATAATAATAGTACAAATAAGAAATGTGCTAAACACAATTAAACTATTGGTAGAATGGGGAATAGAGGAGGATTTTAAGAGTGGAGACTGTAAGCCTACTTTACTAATCTAAAAATTGTTTGTTATTCTCTAGTATGGAAAACAACTATATAGGGCTTATTTTAGTGCAATGCTTTGGAACCAGCTCATTTCTGATTTTTAAATTTGGCAATGACTAGTCAAATTTTCTTGACTGACTTGAAATTTATTTACTATTTCTTCTGTTCTATTTAGGTGAATAAATTTTGTTTTCTGAAAACACACACACACACACACACACACACACACACAAAACCTTATAGGTTAAATTGGTCTTTTGAAGACCAAATACCCTCTTTTTCATCTTCTTAGAGCTTCAGATTAGATATTAAAACACTTCCTTATATTATTCATGCAGTACGACCAGAATGAAACACTGAATGTTCATTAGTATTACATGATAGTATAGTTATACTCAACAGTACTTTAAGTAAAAATCTTATGTCACAAAATATTTTCTTCAGGACTCCTAACTAGGTTTCTATGTTTTTATTACACATCACATTTGTTTAAACTTCTTTTGAGCTCCAGATTTTAAAAATATATTTATATACATGTTGTATATGTTTTTAATAATTCAATGAGTGGTCAGTCCTCATAATTATCAAAAGCTTATTTATACTGGGTCTAACAGCTAAACCAGCCCTTTGTTCTGTGGACAAGAAATTATGTTTAAAAAACATTTTTCTTGAAATGCTTGATTTTGATTTTATTCATTTCTCATAATATTTAAAAATAGGTTTGTCTGATACCCAGCAGTATAATTGAGTGGAAAATTTTAAGGTTCTGGCTATTTTCATTCAGAATATTTTAAATTTAGAGGTTATTTAACAAATCTGTGAATGCTTGGTAGTTAAAATAACTACAATGCATTATCATAAACTCTGTAAAAACAATGGCTTGCATGCATGCAGTTTAAAAAAAAAAGGACAGACAAGTATAAACACACTGCTGACTCTCTCTCCAGCTCATCTAATGCGTGTTTCCACAAGGGTTGTCTGAGATCTGGCAGCCCATGTTTTGGCCTGTCACCTGGACTTTGAACAGAGTTCCGTCTGCACACATACACAGCTTGTAGCGTACCCAGTCACCATTATTTAACTGATCTCCAAAGGAAGAACTTGGTAGGCGAGAGGTGCTGACCATCACAGATCCATTTAGGATGATGCTGTGTTCCTATTGGGAGAATAATAATATGGTTCATTTACCACAAACAGTAGTATTGGGAACAACAGTTAATAAATGCAGTTTACTGCAAAAGTAACAAGAAAAAGGGATTACAATAGACAAATGAGTACAAATTCAACTAGAGGTCTTCTGTCTTAACTTTAGCGTTTGATATATGACAGTCACCCTGCCATACATTTTGTTTTTCAACCACTAAATCAGTGCTGCACTAGAATTCTCATGGCTATGATAGATTTATAATTAAAAAATGAACCTCAGCTCATTGTCATTTATAAAGTCTAATACATATCAAGTCATGATATAGGGCTAAGGAATGGACCTGTGACTTCCCTGGTACAGGGGAACTGCCTGGATGAGGAAAATTTATTTCTACCATTGCAGGTCAGCCTCTTCTCTGTTAGTCTTCGAGTTGCCTAGGACTCTAAGAGGGTAAATGACTTGGCTAGGGTCACGAGACCAGTACATGTCAGAGGCAACTTTGGAACTCCTGTCTTTGTGGTTCTGAGTCAAGAACATAATGCTGCCTTCTCAGTCATACTACTATTACATAGTACCAATAATGCTACTGATTAAAAATCAGCACAATGACTTTGATAAACAACATGGGGAAACGTGTTTTTTCTTATTGGTTAGGAAAATGATTTAATTCCTATAGCTTTGTTATAATTACATATAGGATTCAAACCAGTTTTATATACCTAAATGTCAACATTCCAAACAAAATTTGGTATAGACCAGACCTTTTCACAAGCTACTGCCCCTGAACCTTCTTATGTACATATTCTACATGATGTTTTTTGTGGGACCCTGTTGGAATGTTATAATGTGAACTATATTTATGTTAAATAAAACTATTTTGGATATAATCTGTTAGTTACAAAAAGTAGCATAAAGTTAATTTTTCACCATAGGATTTCAGTAAGATTGTATTACAATACTTTTAAAGTATATAATAGTGCTACGTCTCATCCTGTTTAACCAAATTAATACGTAATTTTGGCCACCACTAATATTTTGGACCTAAAAGAAGTACTCATTTGAGCTTCTGACCCTTTCTTTTGTACTACTCTTGTCATTAAAAAATCTTCAGAAAAGAATTTTCTTCTGCGGCAATAAGATGAATCTGATAACATAAGTCTAAATAGTTATTTAATAAACTCCTACTTTGCAGATCTTAATTGTATTTAAACAAAAAGGGAATATGCATGCTCAAAAATACTGGCAACAAAACCCTTAAGGAAACATAGAAATCACGTATTTCCTCCTGCTTTTAGCAGACACACAAATTTGTAAGACTGTATATATACAGACTGGCCTGACCATGTGATTTTATTGATTTAGAGAACTCTGGGTTATGAAACTCCCTTTACCAAATGCAGACTGGTAACTGTCTTGCAATTTATGACCTAGAGAGTTGCTTGGCTCACTGGGAGATTCAGTGATTTTCCAGTGTGAAGTAACCAGTCTGTCAGAAGAAGGCCTTAAACCCAGATTTTCCTTATTCTGGGGCTCGCTCTCTAGCTACTATGTTACAGTGCCCCTTAAAATCATACACTGAAGGGAAGCACTAATGAAAGGTTAGTTACTAAATTGTTTCAAAATTTTATGTTATTGTTGCTTCACAATCTGATTTCTTTAGCTGTATCTTACAACAAATGAAGTAACAGTGATTTTCAAACTCTGTACTCATTCTGCCACCTACTGGTCAGTTTAATCTCTTAAAACTTTATATTGTATAAACAGTATATTATGAATCTTTAATTATTCACTGTTTCCTTAATTTGAATTATAAGTCTTTTAAATTTGATTTGCTTTTATTGAACTATAGACACGGAGTGCTTTCATAGCTATGGTATTATTTGTCCCTTTAAGTGCTAATATACTTCAAAGATTACAATGGCCATTTTCATTTTCAAAAATGGAGAGACTGGGGCTCAGAGATGTTTAAGGAGCCATGAACAGAACCCAGGTCTTTTTTCTCATTGTACTGCTCTTTCTACAAGATAATATCTGTGATCCTGATGTGGATGTTCCTTCAGCTATACAGACTGCAACTCATACATATTTGTGCAAATCCCATCCATTTTCTCCCTTAAGTTTGTCACAGGGGATCCACCCAAAATGCCAAGGCATTCTTTGACTTTTCCTGACATAACAAGGATGCAAGTGGAACACATGGATTATCCCTTATTCACACCACAGTTCTACCCCATCTTTTCTGACCATGAGATTTCTTTGTATACAGTCTTCATAATTCCTTACTAGTTCTGCATTGCAGCCTGTTCACAAACATTATAAGCTTCTTCACTGCCCTAGGAGTGGGACAATAAGCATACAGGGATTTTGATTTCTATGTCTTTCAGTCAACTGTGTATGGTGAAGATGTAGTCTATAGTGGAATACCACTTGCAAAGGCCTGGCTATTCCCTTTACAAATTATGCTCTTGATGTCTATGTAGATTATTCTCATAAATGTTTTACATAGAGGGGAAAGTAGGCACAGATTTGTATATGTTGATTTTTTTTAATTGCTTTTTTCTCTTTATTAGTACGGTAAAAGATTTTTTCCATGCCTTTGGTATTTTATCTTCTTTTTGGACACCTGGTGAATTGATGCCTCAATACCCTTACAATTTTGTTGCCTACAGAATGGATCTGCTCTATGTGTATGTAGTCAAAGCTGTTTTTCTTGACTTTATCTTTTTTTTTTTTTGGCTAGGCAATGGGGTTAAGTGACTTGCCCAGGGTCACACAGCTAGTTAAGTATTATGTGTCTGAGGCCAGATTTGAACTGAGGTCCTCTTGAATCCAGGGCTGGTGCTCTATCCACTGTGACACCTAGCTGCCCCTTGACTTTATCTTCTTAAGTGTCATTTATACATTCTCCAAAAGCACATCTGGAGCTGTGAAGGTGTGGCTGTTCCCTATCCTTAATGGTGGAAAAAAAAATTGTTATAAAAATCTTTGCTGAGCTATTTCATTTTCTTCTGTTTGTTTTCCTTCTATTTTCCTTAAATGTGCGAGAGATGAATTTTAAGCTGGTTCTCTTACCAAGATTTCTTTTTCAAAAAGATATTTTCCCCAATTACATGTAAAGACAATTTCTAAGATTCATTAAAAAACCCTTTTTTTTAAGTTTCAAGTTTTCTCTCTCTCCCTCCTGCCTTCCCTGAGACAGTAAGCAATTTCATATAGGTTATACATGTGCAATCATTCAAAACATATTTCCACATTAATCATGCTGTGAAAGAGGATACAGACCAAAAAAACAAAATAAAAATTAAAAAAAACAGTATGCTTCAATATGCATTCAGATGCCATCAGTTCTTTTACTGAGAACAGCTAAGTCATTTACAGTTGATCATCTTACAATGCTGCTGCTACTGTGACAATGTCCTGGTTCTGCTCATTTCACTTTGCATCAGTTCACCTAAGTCCAGGTGTCTCTGAAATCATCCTGCTTGTCATTTCTTATAGCACAATAGTATTCCATTACAGTCATACACCACAACTTATTCAGTCATTCCTCAATTGATGGATATCTCCTCAATTTTCAGTTCTTAGCCACCACAAAATAAAGCTGCTATAAATATTTTTGTAAAAATAGTTTTTTCCCTTTAAAAAAAATCTCTTTTAAATACGGACTTAGTAGTGGTATTGCTGGATCAAAGGGTATGTATGCACAGTTTTATAGCCCTTTGAGCATAGTTCCAAATTGTTCTCCAGAATGGTCAGATCAGTTCACAACTCCAACAACAGCGCACCAGTGTCCCTATTTTCTCATATCTCCTTCAACATTTATCACTTTCCTTTTCTGCCCTATTAGCCAATCTGATAGATGTGAGGTAATACTGCAGAGTTGTTTTAATTTGTATTTAGAGCATTTTTTCACATGACTATAGACAGCTTTATTTCATTTGAAAACTGCCTATTCATATCCTCTGACCACTTATCCAACTGGAGAATGACTTGTATTCTTATAAATTTGATTCAGTTCTCCATATATTTGAGAAACGAGACCTTTATCAGAAACACTGGCTGTAAAAATTGTTCCCTAGGTTTCTGCTTTCTTTCCAATCTTGGTTACAGTGGTTTTGTGCAAAACTTTTTAAATTTAATATAACCAAAATTATTCATTTTACATCTAGCAATGCTTTCCATCTCATTTGGTCATATATTCTTCCCTTCTCCATAAATATGACAGGTAAACTATTCCTTGCTCTCCTAATTTGTGTATGGAATCACTCTTCACATCTGAATTACATCTTATCTTCTTATCAAGATTTCTTTAAACTTGTTTTACCCTCTACTGCTTATCTTTGCTCTATAAAGCACTTATTAAGCACTTATTATATGCCAAGCACTGTGTTATGAGGCAATACTGCTTTTAATTTCTAATCATCCTCCTCCAAAAGATTTTACAAATGAGTTCACATTCTAAAGTGGCATTGCTCTTGGCTGCCTTTTTTTTCTTGACAGGTTAAGACAAGTATTTGTCAAGGTGCTTTGGGGAATCTTTTTGCCTCCTTGTTATGGTAATTGTTCTACATTGGTTAAAACTTCCACATGAAATCATTATAGTCAATATCAGTGTCCTTTTTTCTATTCACAGCCTATTTTCATCAATAACTTGATTATACAGGTCAGTTGTATTCACAGTTTCCTCATTTTTAATCTTCTAGTCATGTACTAATTTTCATCTTCGCTGTTAATAGCTTGGTGATCTGACTACACACAGATGACAGCCACAGCAATGACACCAAGAGGAGTGACAAATTGCTGTCTATTAAAATAGAATCAATTTCACTTTTGTGCCATGAAGTGCTCACCACGTATAGCACATTTGGATTCTTTTCTCAAAGAAAACATTCATGATTTACACAAGTGTGAGGCTTCTATGTAGTGTACAGGTCTTTGACCTCTCTTATTGCATTTTTCTGATTCATATTTTCCAACCAATTCTCACCATCATAGTGATGGAATACTAC